CTTTCATTCTCCAACTGCATATCCTTGTGTATCCCCTCATTCAATTTAATTTTCTCCATTACAGCTTTCCTTTCTTCAGTTTCACTAGCTAATGTACTTGGGCTCAGTGGCCTGTCATTTTCCCTTCTCGGCTTTCCCTGGGCTCTGCTGTGGTCTGTTAGGGCCTCCACATATAGCTTAGCTCTTTCATTTACTACAGTCTCCTCTGATAGAGCTTCTACATGCAGTTTTGCTCCTTCTTTCCCTACAGTCCCCTTATGTGTGACTGAGGTAGCAGTTTCTGATGTCAATCTCAAAATGTTCTTTAGTTCTTTAGGCTGTTTCAGATTTTTCAGTTCCTGTTCTAAACTCTGTATCCTAGCCTCTGCTGCTTTGACTTGCACCTCCCACTTCCTGCTTTCCAAATATATCCTCTCTTCTATTCTCAATATAAGTTCTTCTAGTTTCTTTTCCCATTCATGTTCCCTTTTTATGAGCTCTGCTGCCCAATCCTCCTGTCCCTTGGTTTTCCTTCCTGCTCTCTGGCAGCCCATTTTTGTTTTATTTTGATTGCCTCAGATTGGGAAACCTATGTAATTCTGTGTTAGGTTAGTAGTGTGTTTGTCAGAGTGGGGGGGGGGGGGGAAGGTAGAGGAGGAACTGTGGTTATGTGGAAGAGGGGTGGGGAGGGGGATTTAGGGGGGAATATAGGGAGTGGGAAGGAGGGAGAAGAAAGTGGGTGAATGGAAGAGGGAGAGGGGGAAGGGGGGAGAGGTGGGGAGGGGAGGGTGAAAGAGGGAGGGGTGGGATCAGGGGAAGGTGTGAGATGTTGGTGGGGTAGGGGGGAGTGTATGCGAGAGTCTGGGTATGTGTGTGTGTATGTGTGTGTGTGTAATTATGTGTGGGTTTGTGTCTGAAAAGTAGGTGGATTGTGTGTTGGAGTGTAATGTGGAGTCTCAGTGATCGCTTGCCTGACCACAACTTCTTGTGACCTGACCCCCACCCTCCTGGGAATTGACCTGCGCCTACTTACAATGTTGCCGTTATGCCTTGTTCCATAGATTACAAATTGCTATTCCTTATTGAATACTTGAGTGCCTATTCTTTATCGTCTATGAGAGTTGACCCTTCACAATCAGCTTGGCGGTTAATTGGAACCTGGAACTCCACACCCATACAACCACTCATAGGTGATTACAGTACTTGTAATGCAGCTGTAGCAGCCTGTAGATTGTCCAGCTCAATGTGACGTCCTGGCGTAGATCCACCTCGATTTCTTCTCGTTATATAATGTACCCTGTTCACTGTATTTCTCTCACTGGTGTGTGTGTGTGTGTGTGTGCGCGGTGTGTGTGTGAGGGTGTGTGTGTATCCTCCAGAGTCGTCAGGTCGATTTATCTTCACCTCTCCTCGAAGGATATGCCTCTTAGCTCTTGGGCTAGTCTTGTTGTAAACCTTTGCAGTTTTTCTAGTTTTCTTACACGCTAGGTATGGGTTCCAAACTGATGCTGTATAATCCAATATAGGCCTAATGTACACGGTGTACAGGGTCCTGAACGATTCCTTATTAAGGTGTCGGAATGCTGTTCTGAGGTTTGCTAGGCACCCGTATGCTGCAGCAGTTATTTGGTTGATGTGCACATTTGGTTGATGTGCCCGGTGTTATAATCACTCTATGATCCTTTTCCTTGAGTGAGGGTTGTAGTCACTGACCCCCTAAACCGTACTCCATCTGCGGTCTTCTTTGCCCTTCTCCAATCTTCATGACTTTGTACTTGGTGGGGTTGAACTCCAGGAGCCAGTTTCTGGACCAGGCCTGCAGCCTGTCCAGATTCCTTTCTAGCTCTGCCTGGTTCTTGTCCGATTGAATTCTCCTCATCAATTTCACATCAACTGCAAACAGGGCCACTTCTGAGTTTATTCCTTCCAACAAGTCGTTCGCAAATACCAGAAACAGCACTGGTCCTAGGACTGACCCCAGTGGAACCCCATTCGTCACAGGCGCCCACTCTGACACCTCGCCACGTACCATGACTCGCTGTTGTCTTCCTCCAGCTTTTGCACTAATATCTTGTGTGGAACTGTGTCAAACGCCTTCTTACAGTCCAAGAAAATGCAATATACCCACCACTCTCTCTCTCTCTCTCTCTCTCTTGTCTTACTGCTGCTACCCTGTCATAGAACTTCAGTAGGTTTGTGACACAAGATATCCCATTCTTGAAACTGTGCAGGCTGTCGTTGATAAGCTCATTCCTTTGTAGGTGCTCCACCACACCTCTCTTGATAATCCTCTCCCTGACTTTGTATACTATACATGTCAGTGACACTGGTCTATAGTTAAATGCTTCGTGTCTCTCCTTTTTTTTAAAAACTGGGGCTACATTTGCTGTCTTCCCTACTTCAGGTATTCACCCTGTTTCGATAAATGTGTTGAAGATTGTGGTTAGGGGGTACACATAGCGCCTGTGCTCCCTCTCTCAGGACCCACGAAAAGATGTTATTTGGTCCCATTTCCATTAAGGTATCTAACTCACTTGGCAGCCCTTCACTTCTTCCTCGGTTGTATGTATTGTGTTCAACACTTGATGGTGTACCCTACCTTTCCGTCTTTCTGGAGTCCCTTCCGTCTCCTCTGTGAACACTTCTTTGAATCTCATGTTGAGCTCCTCACATACTTCGTTGTCGTTTCTTGTGATCTCCCCTCGTTCCTTCCTCAGCCTGATTACCTGGTCCTTGACTGTTGTTTTCTCCTGATGTGCTATACAACAGCTTCGGGTCAGATTTGGCTATCGCTGATATGTCATTTTCGTATTGTCGTTTGGCCTCCCTCCTTACTTGTGCATATTCAATTCTGGCTACACTACTGCTCTCCTTATTTTCCTGGGTCTTTTGCCCTCTATTCTTCTTTCATTCACTAGCACAGTTGGTTTTGGCCTTTCTACACCTTTGGGTGAACCAAGGGCTCATCTTGGCTTTCTCGTTATTTCTGTTACCCTTATGTGCAAACCCCTCCTCGGCTTCCTTGCATATTGTCACATATTCCACCATCTTGTTTTCTTATTTCCCTGCCAGTTCTCATTTGACTTCATTCTTCCTGCCCTTCCTGCTTCCCTCTCCACTTGTAATCTAGTATGTACTCAAAGCTCAGAGCCATGTAATCACTGGCCCCGAGGGGGTCTTTCATATGTGATGTCCTCAATATCTGCACTACTAAAGGTGAATACTAGGTCCAGTCATGCTGGTTCATCCTCTCCTCTCTCTCTGGTAATGTCTGTTACGTGTTGGTACATGAGATTTTCCAATACCATCTCCATAATCTTAGCCCTCCACGTTTCTGGGCCCCCAAGTAGCTCTAGGTTCTCCCAGTCGATTTCCTTGTGACTGAAGTTACCCTTAATCAGCAGCTTTGTCCTGCTCACATGAGACCTTCTGACCACTTCAGCCAGTGTGTTAAACCATCTCTCTATTACTCTCATCATACTCTTGCCTTAGCCTCCTGCTGTTCTGCAGTGGGTTATACATCACTGCAATTACCACCTTGGATCCTCCAGATGGAAGTGTTCCTATTATGTAGTCTCTTGCTTCTGTCTTTTCTCTCCAGTTCATCAAAATCCCTTCAGCTTTTGATGAGTAGTGCCACTCCTCCACTCCCTCTGTTCCCTCTGCCTTTTCTCGGGATCTGATATCCCTTTGGAAATATGGCATCTGTTATCATTCCTGTGAGCTTGATTTCTGTGAGAGCTATAATGTCTGGTGATGCCTCTTTCACTCTTACATGCCACTCCTACTTGTTATTCTATCTGCGTTTGTGTACCCTACCTTCAGTTTCCTCTCCAACACTATGTTCTGTGGGGTCTGTGAGGGTTGGGGACCTGGCAGTGTGCTGTGGAATCCTACGGCATAGTGGGGTTGGGGCAGTAAGTGTGGATTGTGGTTTGTGTTGGGATAGTGTATTTGGTTGTGGGGTTCTGAGGGTGGTTCTGTGTGTGCTTGAGCTTGTTACTCTGCCCTGCTCTGGTTGTCATCTGCTAATTCTGTCCTTGTCTCTTTTCCTAGCCCCTTTCGTTTCTATGTCCTCTCCCTCAGCTGCTGTCATTCTGTTCTTGTTCTGTCTTAGTCTAAGAACATCCTCTTATATGTTGATGATTCCTTCAGCCATGGTTTCTCTTGCAGGATCCTGTTCCACACTGTTTCTGTCTTGAATATCAGTCTGACTGGCTAATTTCTGAAAATTCACTGTCTCAGTCATGTCCTCCTCGCCTAGTTTTTTGATGTTTACAATCTCCTGTTTTTCTTCCTGCCATCTTTCACTGTGTGTCTTCCTCTCACTACCCTGCAGCCCATGAATAAACACTGACTTCTCCCTCTCCTTCTCAAATTGCCTTTCCCTCTGTGTTTGTGGGTCCTGTTTGTACATGGCCATAGTCTCCCTTATTTTTTCCTGTAACTCTTGGTGGCATGGTCGTGCCTGTGAATGGGACTTATCCTCCTCTCCACCATCTCCTCCCTCCCTTAATGCTATTCCTGCTCCCAACTGCTCTTCCCCTTCATTCTTCGGCTCTGCTTGGTGGACTGATAGGGCCTTAGCATAAGTCATGTCTCCTTCCTTTCTGCTGGGCTTCTCATTCAGTAGGGATGTACCTGCTTCAGGTGCTATGTCTCCTCTAGGCAATAGCCCTATAACTCACTTCAGCCTATTTACCTCATATTCTGGGGCCCATATCCTGGTTTCTGCAGCTTTAGCTCATGATTTCTGTTTCTTCTTCTCTGCCTCCATCCTCTTCTCCATTTTTTGCAGAAAGCTCACCTAGTTGCTCTCCCACTCTTGTTACATCCTTTTGCAATGCGTGGTGGTAGTGGCTGATGGTAACGATGTTAGTAGCGGAATAGGCAGCATATGCTACAAGTGTTGGTACAAACGAGTGATGATACAAGCGATGATGTAGGCGGGTGGCATTGGTGGTTGATGATAATTGTGTTGGTGCAGCTGGGTGATGGTACAGGTGTTGGTGCTGATGCAGGTTGTTGGTAGTGGTGGGCGCCGTGGTGACAACAGGTGATGGGTCGTGGCAGGTAAAGGTTGCCGGGACTTGGAATAGCAGCAGCGGCCTAAGGATCTTCACACCACTTTGGCCAGAACCGCCAGCCACCCTGAACGCCAGACACATCAGAGCAACCTGCATCAATGTAAGCCGACAATTACACTTTATATTCAGTCACCTTCAATGTGACAATCTTCCCGTCCTTTTTAGGCAATAAATTAACTTATTATGGCCACATACGAAATAATGTACCAGTTTTCAATATATGTCTCTAATTCAAATGCTAAAAGTCACGGAACAGGATCATAAAACTATAATTCTCCTACGTGTTGTTAAGATAAGTTTTGATGTTAATTTTGTTTTGCATAATTACTTCATCAGCACTTAATGTGCTTTTCCAGAAACCAGAGGTGTTTATGGTGGGGAACAGTGTAAGACTGGACGATGCTAGAGGCTACATAGTGGAAATGATGCATCTCATGCGACAACACCTCAATTTCACTGAAGTACTGGTGCCCGCAAAAGGCTTTGGCCTCTTCTTGTCCAACGGATCATTCGACGGCATGACCGGGGTGCTGCAGCGAGGGGTGAGAACTCCACAAGTTCTATTTGAACCTGAAATGTCTTTACTGAGGGTGCAGAAGTACTCTAATAGGCTACTGCAGTGAGAGATAAGTACTCGAAAAATTAGAAAGTAGATACTCGGCCCAGTACCTACTTCTCAGTTTCCCAAATGTGCACCTATTTCTTAAATAAAAATTCTCTCACTCTTCAATAAATACTTTTAACTAAAGGATGGATTAGAACTTTGTTTTTATATTCTTGAATTACATTGTTTGTTCAGCCTTGAATACTTCCATATACAAAAAAATCATTACTTGTGTCCAATTATATGATTTTCTTAGTATGCAAGACTACATGTTGCTTTACAATAAATGAAGACTTCTAGGATAAGGAGTCTTTATATAGTTTTATTTGATGCTAGAACTACTCTGTAAATGATGTTATTATTACCATATTATTGATGTCTTTTTCTTGTTTGGGCTTCTTGTTGTTTAACAGAGGTTTGTGTGTAATTGCCAAAATTAGTTTTGAACCTCCGGTGAATAACTGTGCTGGAAAATAGTTTTGCAGTTTCCCAAAGTTTTAGATTAGAATTTCCTTCAAGCTCTTTACTCTTCTTTCTTGTTGATTCCTCGATATTCTCCCGGCCAGGGCCTTTTCCAAGTGGTGGCCAGGCCTTGGCTCCCTTTCTAGGAAGTGTCTGAGACCTAAGTTTCCCATGGGAAGAGGCACAAGTACCCCCTCATTTTGAGACCAACTATCCCCAGGCCTAGCCACATTCCCCGCCCTCACGGGGCTCGTAGGGAGAAGCTAGGCCTCGCCGGTCTGCCATCCCGCCCCAAGGAGGCTAATGGGAATGGCAGGCTTGTGAGCTTGTGTCGATGCTTCAAGCTCTATGTTTTCAAGCTAAACATGGTAATGTTACCAGAATAGACAGAGGCTTACACAAGATATTCTAAACCTTCATCAGTTCTCCCCATGTTTTCAAGAAAACTAAACAACTGTACTACTCCAGCAGATTCACGACACAGGAGGAGTATATAAAAAAGATGAAAACACTTTCCCAGATTCGGGACCCACAAATGAAAAAAACAAGAAATATGTCCAAACTAACCTATGAAATACCACATACATCCCACTGATACAGCTAAAGACATAAGACTTCTCAACCATAGGATCTAATCTCGCCAGTAAAATCCCACGTACCAACAGCCGTGCCGGGATACTAGATGGGAAATCCCAAATTCCTTTATTTGTATCAACTGAAGCCACGAAGCACCGAGATATAAAGTCACTTAACAAACTCTGAACTGTTTCACGTCCACCATATGTACAAGCGGCGGTCCACTGTCCTTTCGTAGCTAATACATTACTTTTTAACAAGTCACTAGAAACTAGACTTCCAGACCATAATAAAGTGGTGACCCTACAGATGCAAACATAGGCCAATACAAACTTACCAATGCTACAATCTCTGGAGAATACTCGTGCGAAGAGACCCAATTCACTATAACGTCACAAAACATACTCAACCTGCCAATTTGATTCAGGAAAATATAAAGCACTAATGATGCAATTTTAAAAATGCTAGACCTGCTTTAACAGATGGAAGCTTTTGACACGTAGCACGATCTACTCCAAATACTTGACATATGGTAAAGAGCCATGCGCTTGAGCTATTTCAAATCTACTTACTAATAGATATCAGTATGTCACATTAAAAAGACACAGCTCATCAACACGGTCACTTATACTGGAGCCGCAGGAAGAGACGTCCCTGCTCTTCATTACATCAATGACTTCCAAACGTATCCCAACACCTGAAACCCATTCTCTTTGCTGACGACACGACTTAAGTCATCTCCCACCCTAATCTTGCCACCCTCAACACCATTGTTAACGAGGAGCTGCAAAAAATATCGACTTGGATGACAGCCAGTAAACTTACACTTAACACTGACAGAACCTACTATATTATGTTTGGTAGCAGAGCAGGTGTTGCGCAACTTAACATTAAGATCGACAACACTCTAATTGCCAGACATAATGAGGGGAAATTCCTAGGCCTATACCTCGACAACAACCTGAATTTCAGCACCCATATCAAACACATAACAAAAAAAGTATCCAAAACGGTTGGGATCCTCTCCAAGATACGATACTACGTACCGCAAACTGCCTTTCTCACACTATACCATTCACTTATATATCCATACCTCACCTATTTTATTTGTGCTTGGGGATCAACTGAAGCAGCACATGTAAAGCCAATAATAACCCAACAAAAAGCTGCAGTAAGAATAATCACTAAATCCCATCCCTGGCAACACCCTTCCCCCACTCTTCATAGATCTAAACTTACTCCCTGTTCAGAAATCTTCACTTATACTGTGCAATCTACGTCTACAGGCCCTTTAAAATTCCAATATTAACCTTGACCGAAAACGCTTTCTTGATAGTTGTGACAGGACCCAGAGGCATATCACCAGACACAAACATCTCTATGACATTCCCCGTGTCCGACTAAACCTTTACAAAAATTCAATGTATGTCAAAGGCCCTAAAATCTGGAACACCCTACCTGAAAACTCTAGAACTGCAGACACATTCATCACCTTCAAAATTACCGTTAGTAAACATCTTATCTCCCTGATACACCCCGTCAACATGAAAACCACCTGGTGGTTCACACTTACTCACTCTCCCATTTGACTGTAAACCCAGAAATACGAATCTTAATCTTAAAATAATGAATCCTAACTAGTCATAAGTTTGCCTGTGATACTCCAATAAAGAAACTATGTATTGTGCCAAAACAAAAGCATTCACATTGCTAAACTCACAAACTATAATGTAGTCACTTAGCCTTAATACCAACTTACTCCATAATCTGTAATAATTTAAAGTTTAGAATTAAACTAAATCTGCCCGAAATGCCTAGCCATGCTAGGTGTCCTAGTGGCCCTCTCTGTAATTAGTATTTTCTAACATGTAAACCACACAATATCCAAAATCTGTAAAACCTGCATTGTAATCCTTACAGAGAATAAACTTGATTGATTGATTGATTGATCGATCTCTTTTTTTCTTGTCCTTCCACTGGGATGTATTTTTTTTGAGGCTTAAAACTGAAGCTTTATAATTTACTAAACCTATCTTTTTCTGTCTCATAAACACGCTAGATAACAGGGATATCTTGCTACTCCAACTTACACTTTGGTCACACTTCACAGACACGCACATGCATATATATATATATACATACATCTAGGTTTTTCTCCTTTTTCTAAATAGCTCTTGTTCCTCTTTATTTCTTCTATTGTCCATGGGGAAGTGGAAAAGAATCTTTCCTCCGTAAGCCATGCGTGTCGTATGAGGCGACTAAAATGCCGGGAGCAATGGGCTAGTAACCCCTTCTCCTGTAGACATTTTCTAAAAAAGAAAAAGGAAAAAACTTTATAAAACTGGGATGCTTAAATGTGCGTGGATGTAGTGCGGATGACAAAAAAACAGATGATTGCTGATGTTACGAATGAAAAGAAATTGGATGTCCTGGCCCTAAGCGAAACAAAGCTGAAGGGGGTAGGGGAGTTTCGGTGGGGGAAATAATGGGATTAAAATTGGGTATCTGAGAGAGTTAGGCAAAGGAAGGGGTAGCAGTAATGATGAATGATAGTTATGGAAGGAGAAAAGAGAATATGAATGTGTTTAAATTCAAGAAAATTTTGTGGATTAAAGTAAAGGTTGGATGCGAGAGTGGGTCATAATAAGCGTGTATGCACCTGGAGAAGAGAGGAATGCAGAGGAGAGAGAGAGATTTTGGGAGATGTTTAGTGAATGTATAGGAGCCTTTGAACCCAAATGAGAGAGTAATTGTGGTAGGGGATCTGAAAGCTAAAGTAGGGAGAAACTTTTAGAGAGGGGTGTGGTAGGTAAGTTTGGGTGCCCGGTGTAAAAAGATAATGGGAGCACTTTGATTGAACTTGTATAGAAAGGGGTTTAGTTATAGGTAACACATATTTTAAGAAAAAGAGGATAAATAAGTATACAAGATATGATGTAGGGCGAAATGACAGTAGTTTGTTGGATTATTTTATTGGTAGATAAAGGACTGTTGAGTTTGACTTCAGGATGTACATGTTTATGAGGGGCCACAGATATATCAGATCACTTTCTAGTTGTAGCTACATGAGAGTAAAAGGGAGTGGGATACAAGGAGAATAGAAAACTTTAGGGAAGAGAGAGGTGAAGGTTTATAAACTAAAAGAGGAGGCAGTTAGGGTAAGATTATAAACAGCTATTGGAGGATAGATGGGCTATTGAGAGCATAGGCACTGGGGTTCGAAGAGGTATGGGGTAGGTTTTTAAAAAAGTAGTGTTGAGTGTCAGCAGAAGTTTGTGGTTACAGGAAAGTGGGTGCGGGAGGGAAGAGGAGCGATTGGTGGAATGATGATGTGAAGAGAGTAGTAAGGGAGAAAAAGTTAGCATTTTGAGAAGTTTTTACAAAGTAGAAGTGATTGCAAGGAGGGAAGAGTAATATGGAGAAAAAGAGAGGTTTAAAAGGGGTAGTGAAGCAATGTAAAAGAGAGCAAATGAAGAGTGGGTGAGATGTTATCAACAAATTTTGTTGAAAAATAAAAAAAGTTTTTTGGGGTGAGATTAACAAGTTAAAAAAGCCTAGAGAACAAATGGATTTGTCAGTTAAAAATAGGAGAGGAGAGTTATTAAATGGAGAGTTAGAGGTATTGGGAAGATGGAGGGAATATTTTGAGGAATTGTTAAATGTTGATGAAGATAGGGAAGCTGTGATTTCGTGTATAGGGCAAGGAGGAACAACATCTTGTAGGAGTGAGGAAGAGCCAGTTGTGAGTGTGGGGGAAGTTCGTGGGGCCCGTAGGTAAAATGAAAGGGGGTAAGGCACCCAGGATTGAGGGGATAAAGATAAAAAGTTAAAAAGCAGGTGGGGATATAGTTTTGGAGTGTTGGTGCAATTTTTTAATAAATGTAGGATGAGGGTAAGGTA